CCACCAGCTTTTTTCTATGTCTGATGATTTTCGTTGGCATGAACGACTGGCATTGGCCAAGTCTATTGGATCGGTTACCTTGTTGTATCACTTTTGTTGTTAGCGGCTACAAACCGACAATCTGCGTCCAAGCTTAGCGAATCTATGGGGCAGTCGATATTTCGCGAGCCAGCACATAACGGGTAATGGGTTCGGCAATAAAAACTGGTTGCTGTTATGGTCTAGATAATTAGCTACTATCTGATGGTACGAATCATCGTGCCTCTGTAAGAAATGCTTTTAGGCTAGAACAGCCTAAATTAACCAGCTCGGAGCTACAGTTAGTACTGTATACGATAACATTGCGAGATGCACATATGTCGCCAACCTTTAGATGGTCTCTGTCTCGGGTCTTGGCAGCCAAGTTGCATTGCCGTTGCATTTATCATTTGGAATAACATATAGAATGCTGCTGATGTGTACACCAAGTATAGTGTAAGTGTAGCCAACGCTCGACAAGCAATCCAGTGCTCTGCGTCAGGACGGTACCAACAGGACACTTTAGATGCAGGTGATGTGACAAGAAAAATGAGTGCGAGTACGGAACGATAGACGGATAGGAAGTCAAGGGTGGCAGGGATCGATAAGTCTAAAGAGGGGCATTTTACTTTGTTGAAATAATGACAAAAGCTCCCTCATTGAAAAAGCTGTTGTCGATGCGATCCCAGTGAACCGGCGCTTAAAAAAATGCCAAAAATTGTTCTGGATTTATAGTCGCTTCCAAGTAACGACTTCCCGCGCACTCATGTTGACGTTCTCTTCGTATATATATATATATATATACAAATAATGCAATACCTTAACAGGGGTCGCATTTTGTGTTTGGAGCTTTACATCCGTAATGTGTTATTGAAGATCACACTCTATAGCTGTAAGTGGCACTACGTATCTATAAGTTCCTGATTGTCTGTTAAAATCAGCGCGTGAAGGCGATTTTCCGGAAAGGCCTCGTGAGGCATCGAGAACGACTGGTTCAATAGACTACCACTGTTATTGCCAGTGCTTTAGCATACGATCGCCTCTACAACAAATGAATATCAACAAACAACGATAGCATTGATTCAGTTGCATAGGCGGCCATGACTGAAGCAGGCCTGGCTTATTGACTCGCTCCTTTTCCTCGAGTTAACTCCTTTCGTCGCGTGTGGCAAGCGTTCATTTTTTCCATTTATTCATTTACATTTTTGTGTAATATTTTTCAAATCGACAGCTACATAGCTATACTAATCACCAACCAGAAGTTGCCATTCTCACCATGATGATCGCCATTATACAGCAATACGATACACATGTATATATGCAACGTCCAAGACAGAAGCAAATAAAACCACAGTTGGGGCCGTGATTCTATCCTAGTCTTAATGCAAAACTTAAAGTCGTCTGTGTCCTATAGCTCGACTAGTCACTTTATGACATGTTGTTGCTACTGGCGTACTTATCTTATCACCAATTATCTATTGTCATCACCCGTAGTAACGAACACGAACAGCTACGGCCAACGAATGTTGGCAGTATCACACTGGCAACTCGTACGGCGGACGGCAACGGAGGGAACCTCAATGGTTGCGTCTCGCTTTCGCAGTCGTGTCCTGCAAAAGGCGCTTGTACCTGCCGATCTACATAGCTAGCAACAATTGATTCGGTCTATAATATTGCCTCATATTATTATTCACGTCATACTGTTGATAGCTTTTGTGTCACGCTTAACAACTCGCGCTAGCTAATGTCTGCTGACTAGTTACATTGTTACTGCTGCTATTGTTGCGTCGAGAAGCTGCCTTCCTGTCCGTGTTCGCCTTGCTCTTCGTTTAATTTTTTTGCAGAAGGCCAGATGCTACCGGTGTAAGGTCCTGTGACATGGCGCCTGTAACGATTGGATAGACTAATGCTGGCTAGCGACGATTTAGGTAAACGAATTAATCGTTCCGGCCACTTGGGCTGACAAATCTTCGTGCGCCTAGAGTTTAAGTTTCGTTTGGTAGAACCAACCTCTTTAAACCTATGCACGTTTCATTGTAGCGTTATTATTTTATTAGACGATACAAATAGTTGACCCATAAACAGTTCGGCTTGTGTACACGCGTGCCGGATATATAATTCAATCAGCCATTGTAGTGCAACCATAGTCCATTGTGTCTACTGAACCATTGGCAACAAATGTAATCTTCTGCGCGACAAAAAGTATTCACAGATCATCCACTGGCCAGCTGTCATAGTTTTCTATTTGTGATTCTCCCAATTCACATGGACGCCGTATTGACAGCGAACG